TTTGCACCTGGAATTTTATGACATGGAAAATAACCACAGAACCACACAATGCTGTGGGGTTGGAAGGGACCTCTGGAGATCATCCAGTCCAACCCCCTGCAGAGCAGGTCAACTCAGAGCAGGTCCCACAGGAACATGTCCAGGGGAGTTTGAATGTCTCCAGAGAAGGAGACTCCACCACCTCCCTGGGCAGCCTCTGCCAGGGCTCTGCCACCCTCAAAGTGAAGAAGTTCCTCCTCATGTTTAGATGGAACTTCTTATGTACAAGTTTCCATTTCCTCTCGTCCTGTCCCTGGGCACCACCAAAAAAAGCCTGGCCCCATCCTCCTGACACCCACCCTGTCAGTATTTATAGGTGTTGATCAGATCCCCCCTCAGCCTTCTCTTCTCCAGACTAAACAGACCCAAGTCCCTCAGCCTTGTGTCCCAGAACACCTTCGGATGCGGTTGGTTGGATGTTGGTTGCCAGCTGGGCAGAACGTGGAAGTGTAACACGTTTAACACAGAATAAATCTGTAAGATTTGAGGTTATTATTCTTCACCCCAGGTCCTGCTTGGGAGGGAGTGATGCTGCCTGCCTGTGGCACCAGGCATTTGGCTGTGGCTCGGCGGGGATGGACCAGGAGCCTCGTGCTGCATCCATTGGAACCCAGGGATGCAGGATGGGTCCGTCCAGGCGCCAACCAGAGGGTGCTGCAGAGCCCCCGGGCACTCTCACAGGCCTCCTCAGTCACTCTGCCCAGAAACACTGCCTTTGCTAAGTTTGAAATATATTTAAAATAATATATGAATAACCAACACAAAGCGATTCCCAGGTTGTTTGGGTTTTTTTGGGTTTTTTTTTTTGCCTTGGCTGTTTTTGCACAGAGAGAAAAATACATCCGCAATTTAAACTCATTACCTGACACCCTCTAGAGGCCTCCAGCCTGCAAACGCTTCAGCACCAGCTAATTTTATGAGAGTATTCCCACCTTGTGCTAACTCGTTTCAGCTAATGAACCCAGGAGGGCCAGTGGCACGCGTGCCCCGGGCTGGTGGCCGGGCTGTGCCAGGGCTGGCGGCGCAGCGGGGAAGGGCTCATTAGTGAGACAGACACGGGCTTGGAAAAAAAAATAGAGTTTTTGAGTCCTCGAGATGCGACGTTCCCAGCTCGGGGAAAGGCTCAGCAGAGAGAACAAATGGTGCCGCAGCCCACCCTGCCTTTTTCCTTTGGGAAATGGCTGGTAAAAAAAAATCCAAGCAAGGTTCCAGCATGGCATACGCTTGGCAGAGCTCGGGCTGCAGCATCTCTCTGGTGCTGGAGTGCCCGTCCCTCCGTGCAAGACCCTTTGGACTGGATCCACACCGTGCCTAAACGCTATGTGTGCAGCCCTGGCACTTCTGCCCCTTTTGGAGTGGTTTTTGCAGAGCTCACTGGGCAGTTTAACAAAGTTTAGGTGCTGCTGGGTTGTTTTTTCCCAGCACAGCTTCTCTCACCCTCCAGCTTCTCAGCTTTTAGCTTGTGGCAAGTCTTCCCCTGGCGTGCTGTGCAGGAAAAGTTGGGTTATATTAAAGCAAAAAACCCAAGCAAGGAAATGTAGAGTGAAAGCTCAGCTCCTGGGCCCCTGCTCTCCCTGGCTGAGCCCCAGACACTGGGCTAGTAGCCAAGGGGGAGCTGCACAGCTGAGTAGCCCATCCTCAGCAGCGGGGGGGGGGATGCCAAGGAGCCCGTCACCGCAGGAATGCTCCCCAGGTGCTGCTCCGGGAAACTGGTGCCCAAACCCACGGGGGGTTATCGACGGCATCATTAAAGGGGGTGAGAAACACAGCCCCACCACCCGGCTGGCAATCGAAGCAGCTCGATGTTGTCGTCGTCCAGGAATCTGAGAGGCTGTGTTTGAATTCCCACCTGGAATTGGGATTGGGATGAGCTTTGTGAGCGTGTCTGGATGTGGGCAGACCTGTGCCTGCCAACGGCTCCTCTCCCTCTCCTCTCCCTTTCCTCTTCCTCTTCCTCTTCCTCTTCCTCTTCCTCTCCTCCCCTCTCCTCCCTCTCCCTTCCCTCCCTCCAGGAGCCCTGGATGGCAGGAGGGGCAGAGACGTGAGGAAAAGCGATTTAATGCATCCCATGCAGCGGTGGAGGGGCAGGGTCCCTCCCGCCACAGCTGCGGGGGCAATTAGGATGGGTATTAAGGTGGCTTTGAGTCAAGGTAGAGCAGCGTAGCCTTTAAGCTCATCATGGTAAGCTCATCATGGAAAATGCTATAGGGAATAGATTCCCAATCTCATTCCCCCCAGGATGCGTGCAGGGGGGGGCTGCGGGCAGCGTGTGTTATTTGCCTCCCCACCTCCCCGCTCTTGCTCCTTCGTTAACCGGGAGGAGCCGGTTCCCAGGTGGAAAAGCCACCGTGCAAAATCCTCCCCAGGGTGGGCGAAGCTGCTCTGAGCGTCCCGTGGAGTCGGCTGCAAAATTTATATTCCAGGCTTCAGGCCTCAGTGGGGGCAGGTGGAGCACGAAGATGGTTCAAGGATTGGAGCGTCTTCCTTATGAAGAAAGGCTGAGAGAGCTGGGACTCTTTAGTCTGGAGAAGAGAAGGCTGAGGGGAGACCTAATCAATGCCTAGAAGTACCTCAAAGGTGGTTTGAAGGAGGAGGGAGCCAGACTCTTTTCAGTGGTTCCCAGTGAGAGGACAAGGCGCAACGGGCACAAGTTGGAACATAAGAGGTTCCACTCAAATATGAGGAGAAACTTCTTCACGGTGAGGGTGACAGAGCCCTGGAACAGGCTGCCCAGGGAGGGTGTGGAGTCCCCTTCTCTGGAGATCTTCAAGACCCACCTGGATGCTCCTGAGTAACATGCTCTGACAAGCTCTAGGCAATCCTGCTTCAGCAGGGGAGTTGGACTAGATGATCTCTGTGGTCCCTTCCAACTCTAAAAAATTCAGTGAAAATTCAGTGAAAATTCAGTGAAGCGAGGGCCAGCGAGGACAGGCTGGTGGTAGCCCTGTGGGTTTGTCCCCAGCTGGAGACACAGCTCCCGCGGGCAGGACGGAGAAGCCGGCGATATTAAATTACATCCTAATGAAAATCTGACTCTGCTTTCATTCACAAGGACACAGGGCCATACGCAGAGATGGGTGATGGCTCATCCAGAAGTTATGAGCATTTTAATTATATGTGCATATAATATAAATGCGTTAGACAAACACAAACCCACTTCCACAGGGCCCGTTCTGTGGCGTTACCCAGGTATATGAAGGCTCCGCGGCTTAATTAAATGTGTTTTGTTTGGGTAAAAGATGGAGACTTTATACAGCTAACAGCTGCCTTATTTTATAGGGTGGTTTTAACTGTATTTTTTTTTTTTTCAGTGTGGGAATTTATCCCTTTAAAGGAGCACTACCGTGATGAAACCTCTGCCTTTTAAAACGCTACAAAGGTAAGACCGTGCAATTCAAGCGGAGGGTAATTTTAACCCTGATTTACCCTTCCCAGCTGGACTGTTTGTCTTCTTTTTAGTACTTTTCTTTGCCGAGGCAACGGCATTTCGGTTGTAGTCCCCAGCTCCGGCTCGCTTTGGTCCCACCTGAAGGCTGTAGCAGGGGCTGCCACATTGATCCTGCTCCAGCTTCAGAGGAACCTGCACATCAAAACTAGCTCCCCTGGGATTTGAGAAGCAAATCATTAAAACATCTATTGATGGGCTTTCCCACTAAAGTACAGCCGGAACCAAAACGACTCGAGTCCCTCTTTTCAACACCTTTTCTAGAGCCACAGTTTTTGTACAAACGACGTCAGAAGATGAGGGTTTGTTGGAAATCAGGAGGACCGGTGCGATGGTGTCCTACAGAAGGGCAGCGCACGAGCTCCCTGAGCTGGGGCTCGTCTGGAAAAGCAAAGGGAAGAATTTCTCTTTGGAAAGGATCAGCGATGGATGAATATGGAAATGCACAGCTTCACTCAGCTCTGCAGGAAACCACCGACCCAGGAAGGCCCTGGATGGGAGCACTTCCCAGCGCATCCCTGGGATGGTCCCTTCCATCGAGCCACGCCTGGCATCTTTCCAGCTTTAATTACCAAAGGGAAGCAGGCAATAGCATGATTTTGGGGAAGCAGTGCTTGTCTGAAACCTACATTTGTAGGGAGCTCACAGCAGTACCGGGTTGGCTTTTGGGGATCATTTTCCACCCCCTCGCCAAGAGATCTGGAAGCAGCTGAAGGTGCTGAACTGAATTAATTCCCCTTCCTTCACTCCTATCAAAGTTAAGCACTAATGAAAAGAATGGTAATTAAAAAAATATATATATACTTTTTAAGGCATTTTGCACATGAAAACAAAGAGGAAGATGGTAGCACTCAGTGCTTTCACTGCACCCACCTGCTCCTTCCCAGGTAAAGGCCGGGCACCGAGCACCTCTGGGATGGGGACGGGGGGATGGAGACCCTGCTCCCTCCGGGCACCGGCTGGGAAGGGTCCCCCTGCCCCATCGCTGCAACCGGTAACTCTGCCCATTTGGTGACGTTTCCATTTCTCAATTCAAACCAGCCACACTCCTGTAAAGCAGAAGCCATCCCAGCATCCCAGCGCTTCTTCCCGTCCGCAGCCGCGCCTCCGTCTCCGACGCGCTCCACGGTAACGAGCATCAGCCCAATTAAGCCACGGGGCTGGGATCAGGAGCGTGCACGGAAGGGGCAGCCAGACTGAGCCTCATCTCTAGCAGCAAATTGTTTAAAGAAACGATTCCTAAAATTCAATAAACGGCAGTTTTAATTCCTTCTTCATATATGATCTTAAAATGAGATTTTTAATTTTTTTTATTTATTCCATAAACAATATAACAAAACTCAGCAAGTTAACAATATGACGTTTTCACCATACAGAGTCAGTCACAAATATTTAAAACCTTTGCAACAAGAACAACAAAACCCAAAATATTACAAGAATAATTTACAAGAGGATCTATAAAACAGCAAAGCGCTCACAAATTTTCCAGTTTCCTTTACACAATATCACTACACTCTTTCACAACATTTCTTTTTATTACAAAATTCCCAACAAAAGTTTAATTTTTTTCTTTGTATTTTGGTTTTTAAAACCAGAAACTTTTAAGTATACATCCTTTTATTAACACCCGAAGGTGCAAAAAAAGGGAAACCTCACACATACAAACACTTCACAGCACTTTTCTAAGAAAAATATACACTTACAAAATATTTTACAAATTGGCACACTTAAAAATATACAAGATTTTGTAGGCGTCTTAGAGTGATCCTTAAGAATTATACTTCAATTGACTCTACAGAATATTTATAAAGCTTATTCTAAAAGAAAAAAGGCAAATCATTTCCAAACATGTTAAAATTGCAGTGTAAAATGTGGAACAGAAATGGATATGTTACATTCATAAAAAGGGCCATTTAATAGTTCTTAAACGCTCGAGGAGGGGGGAGGGGGGAATAAAAGTTTTCTTTAGCACCATAAAACAGGAGCAACTTCCTAACGAGGTGCCTCTAGTTCTATGGAAGGGAACTCAAGGAGCAGTACATTCACATCTCTGGAGGCAGCAGTCGAGGTGCCCCGGCCGGCGCCGCGGGCAGCGGAACAGAGCAGCTCCTTGGATTTCTACCCTGCTTCCCACCGGGAGTTAAGAGACAAAAGGAGTTTTAACTGGTACCTTGCTTTTTTTTTTTTTTTTTTTTTTTCGTGTGAGAGTGTGTTATGTGTCTGGGTGGGTTGGTCTAGGTTTTAAGTCTTCCCTTTGTGCTTTAGAAATGGACGTTTGTCTGGCTAGCGGAGGGTAGTGGTGAATACCCATTTTACTTCTGGTTTCCTTTCGCACCGAGTGTTCAAAGGCTCAGTAAACGTGTCTGGCAACCCAAGCATCCTGCGAGATGGAGGGCATCCTCCTGCTTTAGATCCCAATTCCCTTAGATGGCTGTTACTCCACTGTCATTAGTGTCACTTGTTTACCTGAGAAACAGATTTGAAAAGCCTTGCTTCTACCACAGACATTGTAACTTTGTTTATTTTTGTATTCTTTTTCCTTTTTTTTCCTTTTTTTTCCTTTTTTTTTTTTTTTTTTTTTTTTTTTTTTTTTTTACATTATTTCTCAACGCTGAAGAGATAAAGAGGCACATTCTCAAATAGATGTCAGCGCCTTGAACCGTGCAACTCCCACTGGACCCCCTGGGAGCTGCACAGGCAAAGTCCAACACACCGAGTTGAGAAACTAAGACCGAGGGCCTGATCCTGCACCAACTGAAGTCCACGCACCTGATCCTCTTCTCACTTACACTGACTTCAAGGGAGTTTGTTGGGGTTTTTTTGGGACTTAACGCCAACGGAAAAGGAAAGCACTTGGGGAGCAGGAGCCCCCGGGAGCCAGCTCCCATCCAAGTGGCTTTGCTCGATTGGGACCTTCAGGAAAGAAGAATATGGTCCAGCAGGTAAAGGATGAAAAATGCTTAAAACATCTTTATTTTGGTTCCTGGCTCATTTGAGCCGTAATGCCGACAAAAATAACCGCAATCCTTAAAAAAAGCAAGCCGGGTGGGAATGGTTTTGGCAAAGCAACCACTGCCGGGCTGAAGCCAAACTTGGCTTTTCCTCTGGGCGCAGACCTGGCCGGGGCAGGACAGGGCATCACCAGCCAGGGACAGCCCTGGGTGCCACCAACCTCCTCCTCCCAAAACACCTGGGGAAATCCGGTCTGCAAGTCATGATTCTCGAGCTGTTTTTTTCAAAAAAATCCCCTTCTGCTTATAAAAAGGAAAGCGAGGTGTAACCCTGGTAAGACTTTTTTTCAAAAAAAAACCAAAACACCCGATTACTAGAATCCCCATCACTGATAATATTTCTATTTACAAAACCTCTATATGCAAGTACCTCTCGCCAAACTATGGCCATTGGGGTGGGCTGGCTACTGCTAGGTCGCTGTAGGGGTTTTTTTCTGCAGGACATCATCCCTCCACACCACATAGTTGATGCAGGGAACCGGGTGCTTTCCCAAACTGCAGGAGACCTGTGCTCCTGCCCCTGCTCCCAGGCATCATCTCCTGCCTCTGGCTTGGAGGTGGAGCGAGAGCCAGGGCCTCACCCCGAGCTGCCCCCCGTTGTTCTCCTCTCAGATGGATTTTTATGACCTTCCTTTGTGAGCATCTGGTTTCTGCTTCCTAATTTTCCTGCCGATTACAAGCCGCCCAAACCACAGTGTGCCAGCACCGCGGGGCGCAGGAGAGCGGCATCACTGAGACTGGTCCTCTCATAGGGCACCCAGTGGGACACCTCTAGAGTAGGAGTGAAACCAGATGAAGTAGAAAAGACTTTAAGAGATGCTGTGGAATAAACGTCTTTTGTCTGGCTTGGGTTAATCACCCTGAACATTCAGGAGCCCAACGAGAAGATGGGAGAGGAGCCTGGAAGTCTATGAGGACTCAGCAAGAGGATAAGCCAAGATGGGAGCCAACATGGGGAAGCACGGGGTGGGCAGGGATGGATGGGACCAAGGTCCCGGCCCTTCCACAGCTGGGAGCAGCGCCGTGAAAAACAAAAAAATCACCAATTCTGAGAAGAAGGGCAAGTGGAAAAGGGGAGCTCGTATGGCAAGGAATGAGGAAAAGTGGGAAGTGATGAAAACCTTGAGGTAGCGATAGGCGGGCGGAGATGAATTTCAGGAAAGCAAACTTCCAGCTCTTCCAGAAGTTCGTCAATGGGACCCTCTGGGAAGCTCCTGTCAGGGACACGGGAGCAGGACAGAGCTGGCAGAGCTTTAAGGATGCTTTCCAGAGAGCGCAGGAGCACTCGATCCCCAGTGTAAGAAGTGAGAAAAGGAAGGCAAGAGAAGGGCATGGCTGAGTGGAGACCTGCTGGTCAAACTGAAGGCCCAGAAGGAAATGCACAGGCAGTGGTAGAAGGGACAGATGTCCTGGGAAGAGTGTAGGGATGATGCTCGGGTGTTGGGATGGGAGCAGGAAGGCCAAGGTGCAGCTTGAGCTAAACTTGGCGAGGGACACAAAGAATAATAATAAGGGCTTCGACAGGTACGTCAGCCAGAAAAGGAAGGAAAAAGAAAGCGTATCCCCTGATGAGCAAGACTGGCAAACTGGTAACGATGGATGAGGAGAAGGCTGAGGGACTCAACAACTTCTCTGCCTCAGCCTTCACCAACCACCTCTCTCCCCACATCTCAAGTGGATGGACCACAACTCGGGGAGCAAAGTCCCTCCCACTGTAAGAGAAGATCCAGTTCATGACCACCTGAGGAACCTGAAAATACAGAATTCTATGGTACCTGATGAGATGCATCCCAGAGTGGTGAGGGAACTGGTTGACGGAGTTGCCATGCCACTCTCCATGATATTTGAAAAGTCATAGCAGTTGGGTGAAGGTCCTGGTGGCTGGAAAAAAGGAAACACTGCGCCCATCTTTAACAAGGGTAGAAAGGAGGACGCTGGGAACTACCGTTCATGACCACCTGAGGAACCTGAAAATACAGAATTCTATGGTACCTGATGAGATGCATCCCAGAGTGGTGAGGGAACTGGTTGACGGAGTTGCCATGCCACTCTCCATGATATTTGAAAAGTCATAGCAGTTGGGTGAAGGTCCTGGTGGCTGGAAAAAAGGAAACACTGCGCCCATCTTTAACAAGGGTAGAAAGGAGGACGCTGGGAACTACCAACCTGTTAACCTCACCTCTGTGCCTGGGAAGATGACGGAACAGATCCTCCTAGAAGCTGTGCTGAAGTACATGGAGGACAGGGAGGTGATTTGAAACAGCCAGCGTGGCTTCATCAATGGCAAGTCCTGCCTGACCAACCTAGTGGCCTTCTACGATGGAGTGACTGTGTTGGTGGAGAAGAGCTACGGTTGTTGTCTATCTGGACTTCTGTAAGGCCTTTGACAGAATCCCTCACAACAGCCTTCTTTCTTAATCATAGAGATATGGATTTGATGGGTGGACTGTTCTGTGGATGAGGAATTGGTTGGAAGGTCACATCCAGAGGGTAGTGGTCAACGGCTCAATGTCCAGATGGAGATCGGTGACAAATGGTGTCCATGGCGTCCCTTAGGGGTCTGTACTGGGACCTGTACTGTTTAGTATCTTCATCAATGGCAAAAACAGTGGGATCAAGTTTGCAGATGACACTAAGCTGAGTGGTGCAGGTGACAAGCCTGAGGGAGGGGATGCCATCCAGAGGGACTTGGGCAAGCGCAAGAAGTAGGCCCATGTGAACATCATGAAGTTCAACAAGGCCAAGTGCAGGGTCCCGCACCTGGGTCAGGGCAACCCCTGGTATCAGTCCAGGCTAGAGAGCAGCCCTGCCAAGAGGGACTCAAGGAAGAAATTTTTTTAGGATGAGGGTGGTAAAACACTGGCCCAGGTTGCCCAGAGAGGTGGTAGATGCCCCATCCCTGGAAACATTCAAGGTCAGGTTGGACGGAGCTTTGAGCAACTTGGTCTAGTTGAAGATTTCCCTCCTTAGTGAAGGGGGGCTGGCCTAGATGACCTTTAAAGGTCCAGCCCAAACTATTCTATGATTCTATGACTCTAAAGTTCAAAAGGAAGGAGGGCAAATAGTTGGCTCAAGGCAATTTCTGAATTTTGGGGTCAATCAGAAGAGCGATCACTTTTTCAGACAGAGAGAAGGGCCAGTGCCACACTGGGAGAGATCTGGCTCTTTAACATCTCCCTGGTCAGAGATTTTTGGCAGGGCACGGGGTGACCAGCGAAGATGGCAGCGAAATTGGAGCAGCAGAAGGACTGAAGGAGAGAGCAACAAGGCAGCTGGTATTTGTGATTAACACTGTCCTGACACATCTAGCTGGGTATTCATGGATTTCTAACATATAATAAAATAGTCGATACGTTTTATGCCTTATCTTCATGCCCTATTGCACATTTCTCAAATGCAATAAATATTGCTATCTGGTTCAGTACCAGGTATTTATTACGAGTCCCATATTCATCATACGCGTAAGGAGCACAGTGGAGGCCAGTCGAAATGTGCTTTCAAACAACGGTTCTGGGTCAAAAAAAAAAGGGCCGTGCAGCATCCCAGCCCTGGACCTGACCTGTCTCCATAGGAGCAGCCTGAACATCTGAAAGAAGGGAGCCGGCAGCCCCTTTGTCCTGCAGCATGTGAGGAATGCTGGAAAAAAATGGGATACACCAACACCACGGCGGTGGCCAGAGCTTGTAGTATCTGATGACCCTACGGATAGAAAATACAGCTGCTGGGGAAGCAGGGGAGAGCGTGGTGGCTGCAGGCAAGGTGAACGCCCAGGGATGGAGCCCTAGCACAGCTCTCCTCTCCAAAACAAATCCTGAGCATCTTCTGGATCTCCCTCCTGGAGCCAGAGCCGGGGCGGGATGCAGCAACCTGTGGGGTGCCCAGGGACCGCTCTCATCCGGAGCAACTCGCTCCGGGCAACGCCAACGCTTCAGTTTTTCATGGAATAAACAAACTTCTAGGACGGTTTTCAGAATTACGATTTTTTTCAGAGTTCCTTCTTTCCTCTGGTAAATAAAACGCAACGCAATTACTGTGCTGTTCTCCCCGGGATTGCAGAGCTGAGCCCAAGCGACACCTCAAGATCTGCGAGCGCCGAAAACACTTCGATTCTAAAATCAACACTCTGCAAATCCACTTCAATTTGAAGTGTTCAGTCTGCTTTTTTGTTTTTTTTTTCCCCCCTAAATTAACGTAAAACAATTCTGCTGTTTTCCCTTGCGCGTGGGCTGAAAAAAACCCACCCTTCTTGTAAGGAAACCCCAGTCTAAGTCCTGTCCTCTGCAAAACACCACCTCTACGCTCCTGACCGTGCCGAGAACGGGATCTGCCCCACTGCTATTAAGGCTCCTCTTCCTCATGGTTTTCTATTGCATAAACGTGTCCAAGCCTCGCGTCCCTCTGCTCCCAATAGCTCCCAGTTAGCAGGGCTCTTGCATATCAAGGTTTCGTTAAGAAATCAGCAGCAAAATGCACAGGCTCTCAGTTGCACAAGGAAAATAGATCTTTGTTGGGTTGGTTATTCTCTTGGAGGGCGAGGGTGTGGTGAGTAGGGTTACAAATAAGGCCTTTTTTTTGAGAATACATTTAGCATTCAATACTTAACGCTGTCTTAATAAAAGTCCAGTCAGGTATGATCCGGCCCTGATCGATCGGTGAGATCACAAATAGCTCCGTGGTTTCTTGGTTGTTTTGTTTGTTTGTTTGTTTTTTTCTCTCTTATCTTATGAACTGAATGAAAGAAAAGGTTCAGTCTCGTTATTTAAAACTAATGACTTCGCTTTTGAAAGTTCAAACGACATTGGCATCGCAAGGTTAGACATTTAGGAAACACCAAAGCTATGACAGGAGAGCGCTTTTGACAGGCTCTGCATCAAAAATGGTTAAGAAACTACTCAAAGGAAAAGGAAATAGCAATAAATGTATGAAATGTATTAGTTCTGTTTTTATAACTATTTTAGAATTTATCCCAGGTTCTTATAAAATATATAAAACTGAGATACAAAGAATTAGCAATGTAACTTTGCATTTCAAATGATCTTCAGCTACAGGTTTTGCTTTAAGAAAACAGACACTTGAAAAGCAGCTGTTCTGTAGTCTCTAGATGCAGACACTTGAGTTCCTGGCAAACTTACCGTCCGTGGTTTTCTGAACTCCTCCACCATTCCAACTCTCTCCTGTAATGAAACTCAACACTTCACCATGAAGTTTTTCCGCTCATGGTTTCAAAGAGAGGACGTTACCATTTCCCAGCATTGGTTTCAAAGTTCCTTTTTTCTTTTTGTTTTTTCCCCTTTTTTTTTTTCCATTTTTTTTTCCTTTTTTTTCCTTTTTTTTTTTTTTCCCTTTATGAGCTTTAAACCACAGGGTGAATCCATGAAATGAGGTAAGTAAATTTGGCACACTTTTAGTCATGTCCATAAAACTTTTGGTAAGTTGTATAAGTGAACGATATCATTTTCATCATGAGTTACAGGTGCTTTCAAAGGGGGGTGGTTAGTACTTAACAACTGGAATGTTTCTAGTAAAACCAAAAGGCATAGCTGCAGAAAACACTCACAACCCAATGTTGATAGAGAAGTAAAAATATATACAATACAGTCACTTGTTCATAGTTTGGCACAATTTTTTGTTGTTGTGGGTAATAGTGCATAAACTACTGTACAACAGTATGACTTTTAAAACAGTCTTTCACAGAGAATACCAGATTAGGTTTGCTTTCAAATAATAAAATTCCCACAATTTCAAACTCTTCATCTCAGCACTTACATTTCAACATACCACAAGGCAGATTTCGAAAAGGAACCGACGGGAAAAGAAACCAAACCCCAACCGAAGAGAAGAAAAAGAAGAAAAAAAAAAAAAAAAGTCATAGCAGTTGGGTGAAGGTCCTGGTGGCTGGAAAAAAGGAAACACTGCGCCCATCTTTAACAAGGGTAGAAAGGAGGACGCTGGGAACTACCAACCTGTTAACCTCACCTCTGTGCCTGGGAAGATGACGGAACAGATCCTCCTAGAAGCTGTGCTGAAGTACATGGAGGACAGGGAGGTGATTTGAAACAGCCAGCGTGGCTTCATCAATGGCAAGTCCTGCCTGACCAACCTAGTGGCCTTCTACGATGGAGTGACTGTGTTGGTGGAGAAGAGCTACGGTTGTTGTCTATCTGGACTTCTGTAAGGCCTTTGACAGAATCCCTCACAACAGCCTTCTTTCTTAATCATAGAGATATGGATTTGATGGGTGGACTGTTCTGTGGATGAGGAATTGGTTGGAAGGTCACATCCAGAGGGTAGTGGTCAACGGCTCAATGTCCAGATGGAGATCGGTGACAAATGGTGTCCATGGCGTCCCTTAGGGGTCTGTACTGGGACCTGTACTGTTTAGTATCTTCATCAATGGCAAAAACAGTGGGATCAAGTTTGCAGATGACACTAAGCTGAGTGGTGCAGGTGACAAGCCTGAGGGAGGGGATGCCATCCAGAGGGACTTGGGCAAGCGCAAGAAGTAGGCCCATGTGAACATCATGAAGTTCAACAAGGCCAAGTGTGTTGGTGGAGAAGAGCTACGGTTGTTGTCTATCTGGACTTCTGTAAGGCCTTTGACAGAATCCCTCACAACAGCCTTCTTTCTTAATCATAGAGATATGGATTTGATGGGTGGACTGTTCTGTGGATGAGGAATTGGTTGGAAGGTCACATCCAGAGGGTAGTGGTCAACGGCTCAATGTCCAGATGGAGATCGGTGACAAATGGTGTCCATGGCGTCCCTTAGGGGTCTGTACTGGGACCTGTACTGTTTAGTATCTTCATCAATGGCAAAAACAGTGGGATCAAGTTTGCAGATGACACTAAGCTGAGTGGTGCAGGTGACAAGCCTGAGGGAGGGGATGCCATCCAGAGGGACTTGGGCAAGCGCAAGAAGTAGGCCCATGTGAACATCATGAAGTTCAACAAGGCCAAGTGCAGGGTCCCGCACCTGGGTCAGGGCAACCCCTGGTATCAGTCCAGGCTAGAGAGCAGCCCTGCCAAGAGGGACTCAAGGAAGAAATTTTTTTAGGATGAGGGTGGTAAAACACTGGCCCAGGTTGCCCAGAGAGGTGGTAGATGCCCCATCCCTGGAAACATTCAAGGTCAGGTTGGACGGAGCTTTGAGCAACTTGGTCTAGTTGAAGATTTCCCTCCTTAGTGAAGGGGGGCTGGCCTAGATGACCTTTAAAGGTCCAGCCCAAACTATTCTATGATTCTATGACTCTAAAGTTCAAAAGGAAGGAGGGCAAATAGTTGGCTCAAGGCAATTTCTGAATTTTGGGGTCAATCAGAAGAGCGATCACTTTTTCAGACAGAGAGAAGGGCCAGTGCCACACTGGGAGAGATCTGGCTCTTTAACATCTCCCTGGTCAGAGATTTTTGGCAGGGCACGGGGTGACCAGCGAAGATGGCAGCGAAATTGGAGCAGCAGAAGGACTGAAGGAGAGAGCAACAAGGCAGCTGGTATTTGTGATTAACACTGTCCTGACACATCTAGCTGGGTATTCATGGATTTCTAACATATAATAAAATAGTCGATACGTTTTATGCCTTATCTTCATGCCCTATTGCACATTTCTCAAATGCAATAAATATTGCTATCTGGTTCAGTACCAGGTATTTATTACGAGTCCCATATTCATCATACGCGTAAGGAGCACAGTGGAGGCCAGTCGAAATGTGCTTTCAAACAACGGTTCTGGGTCAAAAAAAAAAGGGCCGTGCAGCATCCCAGCCCTGGACCTGACCTGTCTCCATAGGAGCAGCCTGAACATCTGAAAGAAGGGAGCCGGCAGCCCCTTTGTCCTGCAGCATGTGAGGAATGCTGGAAAAAAATGGGATACACCAACACCACGGCGGTGGCCAGAGCTTGTAGTATCTGATGACCCTACGGATAGAAAATACAGCTGCTGGGGAAGCAGGGGAGAGCGTGGTGGCTGCAGGCAAGGTGAACGCCCAGGGATGGAGCCCTAGCACAGCTCTCCTCTCCAAAACAAATCCTGAGCATCTTCTGGATCTCCCTCCTGGAGCCAGAGCCGGGGCGGGATGCAGCAACCTGTGGGGTGCCCAGGGACCGCTCTCATCCGGAGCAACTCGCTCCGGGCAACGCCAACGCTTCAGTTTTTCATGGAATAAACAAACTTCTAGGACGGTTTTCAGAATTACGATTTTTTTCAGAGTTCCTTCTTTCCTCTGGTAAATAAAACGCAACGCAATTACTGTGCTGTTCTCCCCGGGATTGCAGAGCTGAGCCCAAGCGACACCTCAAGATCTGCGAGCGCCGAAAACACTTCGATTCTAAAATCAACACTCTGCAAATCCACTTCAATTTGAAGTGTTCAGTCTGCTTTTTTGTTTTTTTTTTCCCCCCTAAATTAACGTAAAACAATTCTGCTGTTTTCCCTTGCGCGTGGGCTGAAAAAAACCCACCCTTCTTGTAAGGAAACCCCAGTCTAAGTCCTGTCCTCTGCAAAACACCACCTCTACGCTCCTGACCGTGCCGAGAACGGGATCTGCCCCACTGCTATTAAGGCTCCTCTTCCTCATGGTTTTCTATTGCATAAACGTGTCCAAGCCTCGCGTCCCTCTGCTCCCAATAGCTCCCAGTTAGCAGGGCTCTTGCATATCAAGGTTTCGTTAAGAAATCAGCAGCAAAATGCACAGGCTCTCAGTTGCACAAGGAAAATAGATCTTTGTTGGGTTGGTTATTCTCTTGGAGGGCGAGGGTGTGGTGAGTAGGGTTACAAATAAGGCCTTTTTTTTGAGAATACATTTAGCATTCAATACTTAACGCTGTCTTAATAAAAGTCCAGTCAGGTATGATCCGGCCCTGATCGATCGGTGAGATCACAAATAGCTCCGTGGTTTCTTGGTTGTTTTGTTTGTTTGTTTGTTTTTTTCTCTCTTATCTTATGAACTGAATGAAAGAAAAGGTTCAGTCTCGTTATTTAAAACTAATGACTTCGCTTTTGAAAGTTCAAACGACATTGGCATCGCAAGGTTAGACATTTAGGAAACACCAAAGCTATGACAGGAGAGCGCTTTTGACAGGCTCTGCATCAAAAATGGTTAAGAAACTACTCAAAGGAAAAGGAAATAGCAATAAATGTATGAAATGTATTAGTTCTGTTTTTATAACTATTTTAGAATTTATCCCAGGTTCTTATAAAATATATAAAACTGAGATACAAAGAATTAGCAATGTAACTTTGCATTTCAAATGATCTTCAGCTACAGGTTTTGCTTTAAGAAAACAGACACTTGAAAAGCAGCTGTTCTGTAGTCTCTAGATGCAGACACTTGAGTTCCTGGCAAACTTACCGTCCGTGGTTTTCTGAACTCCTCCACCATTCCAACTCTCTCCTGTAATGAAACTCAACACTTCACCATGAAGTTTTTCCGCTCATGGTTTCAAAGAGAGGACGTTACCATTTCCCAGCATTGGTTTCAAAGTTCCTTTTTTCTTTTTGTTTTTTCCCCTTTTTTTTTTTCCATTTTTTTTTCCTTTTTTTTCCTTTTTTTTTTTTTTCCCTTTATGAGCTTTAAACCACAGGGTGAATCCATGAAATGAGGTAAGTAAATTTGGCACACTTTTAGTCATGTCCATAAAACTTTTGGTAAGTTGTATAAGTGAACGATATCATTTTCATCATGAGTTACAGGTGCTTTCAAAGGGGGGTGGTTAGTACTTAACAACTGGAATGTTTCTAGTAAAACCAAAAGGCATAGCTGCAGAAAACACTCACAACCCAATGTTGATAGAGAAGTAAAAATATATACAATACAGTCACTTGTTCATAGTTTGGCACAATTTTTTGTTGTTGTGGGTAATAGTGCATAAACTACTGTACAACAGTATGACTTTTAAAACAGTCTTTCACAGAGAATACCAGATTAGGTTTGCTTTCAAATAATAAAATTCCCACAATTTCAAACTCTTCATCTCAGCACTTACATTTCAACATACCACAAGGCAGATTTCGAAAAGGAACCGACGGGAAAAGAAACCAAACCCCAACCGAAGAGAAGAAAAAGAAGAAAAAAAAAAAAAAAAAAAAGAAACAAACATCGACCGTCTTTCTAGAAAAGGGAGTCTCTTCTTCAAATACAGGAAAACCCAAAAATGTTGTTTCTGCTTTAAGAAGAATGGAGTCTGATTCCCTGCAGGAAAAAATCAAACATTTGATGCCATCTTAGTTAGCTCGTCTGGAGTCACCACGACGGAGCGAACGCGCTAAAGGCGGGCGGGTGCAGAAGATGCAGCTTTAGATGATGCAGGTTAGGAGATAAACAGCAGAGGGGGCCAGAAAGCACTCAAAATTGCCACGTGAAGCTCAATTAGGAACGAGTTCTCATTTGCAAAGTAAAGAGCCTTTAAGTTTTCAAGATCTTGGCTTTTGGATGCATAACCTTTTTTTTTTTTTTTTTTTTTTTTGGGTTTTTTTTTTAAAAAATTTTCCAAAATTTTTTTTTTTTTTTTTGGTTTATTTTTTACAAAATGTTCCAAAAAAAAAAAAAAAATGTCTTTCCTCGTCAAAATCATTAAAAAGAGCGTGTAATCATGGTTTGTTTGTTTTGTGGTTTTTTTTTTTCCCCCCAATAAATAAGTAATTAAAAACTGAAGAAGCCAAACAGCAGAAAAGAGTAGCCTTGTTAGTGTTTTTAACCCCAGCCAAGCCAGAAAATTGGTCATTCTTTTAGGTAGCTTGCAAGTAAGAAGTATTTTCATGCATTTAAAAAAAACCAAAAAAACAAAAAAAAGACCCGAAGGAAGAAAAAAAAAAAAAAACCCAACCCCAAAACCAACCAAAACTGTAAAAGGGGAACGTCCTT